GAAGGAAGGAAGGAAGGAAGGAAGGAAGGAAGGAAGGAAGGAAGGAAGGAAGGAAGGAAGGAAGAAGGAAGGAAGGAAGGAAGGAAGGAAGGAAGGAAGGAAGGAAGGAAGGAAGGAAGGAAGGAAGGAAGGAAGGAAGGAAGGAAGGAAGGAAGGAAGGGAGCACACAGCTGAAATGCCCCAGTGGAAGCACTGAACTAGAGAGTAACACTCCTAAACCACCAAAATGGGGCATAACTTGCAGAGAAATAGCACTATCAAAAGAGATCACACAAACCAGAAATTAACCGTTTTCAAAAATAAGAACAGGAGATATTTGAATTAGATGCTTTCACGCTCCCTCTGTAACAGGAGTTTAGTGAGCCTTTTTGCTACCTCCATGGACGTTCACCCTTACTTGGCTGAAGGCCAAGTACAAGACACTGAAAAAATTCAATTCACACATGCTCCAAAGACACTTGTTAAGTATTTGGCATCTCATCTCTGAACAGAAAAACCTCTTCAATAGCCCAAGCCAAGCAGGCATTCCATAAAGGTAAATGTTCATGAATCCAACAATACGTTAAATCACTGTAAATTTATATTGTTGACTCAGTAAGAATTTTTCCAAACACTAAATAACCAACAGCAAATACATTCTAAGAAGCCAAGGTACACAAACAATTTTGCTTGATCCATAGTGTGCAGCGTGTACTTTATATTATATTAAAGCACTGCTAGCCAGAGAAAATCTGGAATGTTCAATGAAAAACTGCAAAGAAACTGAAACTAAGAGTGTAAGGATTTCTACTAATAATCTGCACATGTTATTTGAAATTTGATCCTACAGCCCTTATTCAGAAGATCAGACCTATTGAGTTTATTCACATGAGCTTTGGCTGCAAGATTGGACCTTAAGTACTATCAGGTGCACGTGCAGCCTATCATCAGATTTTGGGTTATTCATGCAAGAAGCTACCCTTTCAAATGCAGACTACTTAATGCTTCCTTCTTCATTAACTTACATGTCCTCTTCTGCTGCTCTATGCTTTCATTTGTGCTATGTAAATAGCCTCTCAGTCATCAAAACAAATAATGATCTTTGCAACCAAGGAGGAAATTAGTAGCAGGTGAACGCTTATTTTTTAAATCATGTTGAGACCAAGCTGTTCTTTTAACTTAAAGGATCTCTGGAAAAAAAAATCCGATTTTACTACTTAGCCATCTGAATTATGGGTTGTCAAGGTCATAATTTTACATACTTATCCCACATACACTACTCAAATATTAACCTTGATGGCAATCTACTTTGTGATGAGCTGGATCTAACACTTGTGAACATACTTTAAAGCAGTTTATTTAGTGGAATAAGACTTCTCTGATGATATAAAATTAACTGCATTTTATCATACATGACACTAGGAATTTCTGATTTAAGTGTTCTATATCTTTGTTTTACATATCTGTTCTACATAAATACAAAATATTATACTATGGTGACAGCAAAAAAACTGTCTCAATGCTTTTGCTACCTGCCTACAGACTTTTGCAGGTGAGATAGGCTGCAATTACAAGACATGGAATTAACTTGAATAAGATCACAGCAGAGACATTTATGTCATGGTCCACATTATAATCTACATATTTACAAATCCTCTTTGAATTTTGCAAGACATTGGTAGAGAAGTAAACTGTCAGTACAGGTAAAAGTCTCTTCATCAGTGAAGGCACTCCCAAAAATACTAATGCTAGTGTTCAGTGGCCCCCAAGCAACCAACAAATTATTAACTGCCTTTAGGCTGTAAGATACATGCAAAGCAACAGACAATATCTACCTTCTGATGCTAGAGATACTCCGGATACCCCATGAGTATGGAAGGAGAAAGTCAACAAAAGCCTGCAACAACTAAACTGTTGTCACAAAATTTTTCTCGATCATACTGCAAACTTGCCACATAGACTAATCATCAGTTTGAAGCAGCTGCAACACTATGTTCTATGTACTTCTCCTGTCATTTTAATTTTTAAAAAGGAAAATTGAGAGGTTCTCTACAAAATTCAATGCCACAATAGCAATGACTGAACCAGAATCACAAAATTATTAATAGTTCACTGAAATGTCTATTAACAACACATATCAAAAGGCTACATCAAAATCACATATCAAAAGAAAAAAAATGTGTGCCTGAAATAACTGATCAGTGAATGAAGAATAAAAAGATGTAAGGAGAGGAGATGTAGGCAAACCATTTTGATTTTTGAAGAATCAATTTCCACATATCAGAAAAATGGCAGAACATTACAGACAGTGTATTCATGCCTTTTATCAGCAAAAATAAACCCAAAAAAAACCCCATGGATAACCAAATTGAAATTTATTAATGCTCCAGGAAAGAGAAAATGATTCTGGTACTATAAGGTCAGGGAGTACATTCATTTCTTAAAAATCAATAAAACACATTAAAAACACTCTACAATATATATTTATATATATGTATGTATATGCATAGTAAAAAATGTTGTCTTGTGCAGGATGTACACATGCTTTAAAAATTAGAAAACCAGCATAAAATGACTGAGCTAACAAAGGAAACACTGAATGCATAAAACAATTTTGTTCAGTCATACAAATATAGCTACTTCATCATCTCACTGGATGATGAGCTACATAACTGAACCCTAAATGCACAATAAAGAACTCCTAGAATCAAAGGATGAAGTTTCAAAGCAAAGACCTAAGGCCAGATTTTACTACATCACTGTACAAATCATTTGAGTGACTGCTTCTTAAGCTACCAGTTTGCTAAACACATCTTCACCTTAGACTACGAAACAGCTTATCAGAGGATGATACACCACTCCAGTACTATTCAAAGTTTGCATCAGTGGCCCACTAATTTATGGCACAAAATGAGATTTTAGTTATGTGAATAAATGCCAAGGATCAGAACCTCCTGTGTCCCCAAATAATTACATCAAAACCAGACACTGGAACATTTATAAATCTGTGGCTTGTTGGAACAACTGTGTGGTACCAAGTACCTAGTAGAAAAAGACTGAAACACAGATGAGTTTGTTTTTTTTTCTCTAAAAACACAAAAAGACAACTTAGAACAATTCTCTGTCAGATACCTGACCTTAAACCTTCCTTGCCCTTCCCCTACCAATATAAACAAAGTGAATTTTCAAAGATCATTCAAACTGCAACATGGAGAATGACTATAACTAAGGCAAAATGCACAACACAGATCACAGATGTAAGATCCCTGTCTCAGAACAAGTATACCAAAAAATCACAGAGTTGTTCATACTACTGTAGGTTGAAGCTATTTTCACATACTTTTCAGATGCACAGAATGTGAAATTTGCCATGTATTTCCAAATATGTATAGGAAAGTGTGGTGGCACAGGAAGTCCATATTGATCTTTAGTCATGTCTTGTCCAACTCACTTATCTGGAAAATGCAAATATTTGAACAATGTAGACACACACAAACATCCATACACACAGGCCATGCAACAGTATTTCCTCTCAGAAGAAATGAGTATCGAGTGACTTAGACACAACAACATTCGGAGTCTACACACAGCACTATCCTTTTAGTTTTTGGAAAAGTATACAAAGTGAAAAGATGTGAGAATCCCCTGCAGTAGCCCCACTCACTTTCTACTCCCCGCCACAGTTCTTGGAATGAGGAGGAGAAGGTAAAAAGCAAGCTTCATCAACCTCTGGTAACAAATCTCTTGCAGGACAAACAGCTGGGCAGCTCCAGCAGAGAGCCCAGGCTGACACACAAACAGTGGCTGAGCAAGCAAGCACAGAGCAGCTCCAGAGAGCTGAAGCACCTCTCCTATGAACACAAGCTGAGTGTGTTTGGATTGCTCAACCCAGAGAACAGACATCTCCAGGGAGACATTACAGCAGCTTCCAGTAAAGGAACTACAAGAGAGAGAGACTATTGACAAGAACATGGAGTGATAGGATAAAGGGCAATAGCTTCAAACCTAGCAAAAGCAGGGAGATTTAGATTAGATGTTAGGAAGAAATTCTTGCCTGTAAGGGTGGTGAGGCACTGGAAGACTTTATGCCCAGAAAAACTGGGGATGCCCCATCCCTGTCAGCCTTCAAGGTCAGGGCTTCAAGTAACCTCATGTAGTAGAAGGTATCCCTGCCTATGGCAGGGTGTTGGAAATAGATGACATTTAAGGTCCCTTCCAACCCAAACCCATTCCAGGATTGTATGGATAAGGCACTTGTCTTCCTAAGGCACCATTATGCACAAACAAGCCCTGCCTTCCTGCAGATGGCTATACATCTGCCTGCTGATGTAAAGAAGTGAATTGATTTCTTATTGTGTGCAAAGCTTTTACTTTACCTATTAAACTGTAACTCAGCCTGTGAATTTTTCACTTTTACCCTTCTGATTCTCTCCCCTACCCCACAGTGAGGAGTGAGCAGGTAGCTGTGGGAGGCTAAACTGCCTAGAAGTACCAGCAGTATCCAAATATGTAATACACCAACAGATAATTAATCAATTAATTTTTAGATTTCTGTTTTATTTAGTGGTTTCTGGTATCTCCTGGTAACATGAGAAAACTCAACCAATGCATTTATCTTCAGCCAAAAAGAAAATTGGCACAGCTTTATAATCCATGAGGTGAGTAAGGTAAAAAAAAAAATACTTCACTGTTTAATATTCTAACTTACATACGTAGATGATATGTTATTATGAAGATATCCTGAAGTCAAACACTAATCTAAATCACACCCTAAGCTATATAGCGAACAACAGAAATTACTGTTAGAGCATTAATATGTAGCAAATCAACAACTTCTAATAAATAACTGGAACCTCACTAAAACTTTAATGTATGTAAAAATATCACTTCTGCAGAGAAACAGAACAAAACCCATTGCACATGAACACACACACACATATATAAACACATACATACCTGTATATATACACACATATATGCACACAGATACATACATGCACGCACACACACAAATTATATACCTCTCCAAGAGCTTCATAGCGCTTTTGATTCCATCTATGCAAATCCTCACGATAATTAAAAACAAATGGCTCCCCAGTTTTAATGTGTCTTAATTGCCCTTCTGTAAAATAAAAAAAATCATTACAGTTAATATACTTCTTCATTGCTGAAAATTTAAAAAGAAGTCTACATCTAAAAACCAAGCTATTATGAATTCCTCCTCATTTATGGTTATAGGCATTTTAACAGAAAACTACTGTAGCATAAAAAATTGCATTCCCATTTTATGGTATATACTGTTATATTATAACAGTAATATAACTGTTAGATTAAGCTAAACAGAAATGATGACAGTGAAATTGCACACAGATATCAAATGCCAAAGTGCTTCACAAGATATATTTATGTCTCAACTGCTATGAATTAACACTGAAATGTAAACACTAGTGGTTAATATTTGATCTGCAGGTGATTGAATTGTAGTTATAAATCTTCTGCAAAACGAACTGCAAAAAGAAATGCAAATACAAAAGAGGCTGGAAGCTAGAAGTAAGGGAAAGATCTTCAAGCCTAACAACTTTCTAAGCTAATCTGAAAAGAACCATGCCCACAGTAAGGGAAAATATCATATCTCCAAGATGAAATCAAGTAAGACCTCCTAGATTTAGGGTACACTGAGATTACAATGGTAAAATAAAGTAGAATGTTTGTTCAGAGCAAAGCCACATGCTACTTTTGCTCTCATTGTAACTTCCTGTAGTTGGCCTTATGTATAGCCGAAGTTAATGGCAAATCCAACCACTTGCCAAAACATGGACTGTGTTAAAACCGTGATAATAACAAAATGGAAACCAGTAGGAAGCCAACTACAAGAACAAATATTTTACCAACGTTTCCGCCTATCAGACAAAACAAAAGTTATGATCTCAAAGCATTAGAAAACAGCAGTATATCAGTGAAACTTTAAAAACAGTGCTACATGCAAGTAAACTTGGAATGCTGAAACATTTGCATGATGAAACATAGGCTTCTCCATAATGTTTCCTCTTGAATAGAAAAAAATTGCATGGTTCATGTATTTACAGAACTTTTAAACTTTGATTCCTGATAAAACATTTAAGATCTAATGTCTATAATAGTTATTGTGATAAGTTTAAGTTATGCTTATCTGTTGATTTCACTGTTTTCCAGACCTGTCTTACCTCATGTATGATGGAAATATTTCTCCACAGTTTCCTATCCCTGTGTTGGGTTCAAATATCCTCCTTCTCACATTTTTTGTAATAATTTTACTTTCAGTTGCTCCTTCTTAGATACATACTCTTCAAATATGCCATTCAACAGTATATGAACTGGCTCTCACCACAAGTAACAAATACCTTCTATATTTTTCCTTCCGACTTTCTGGAACCCCTGCCTTATCCAGATTTAAATAATCTGACAAAAAAACTTCTGTACTTTTCCACCACAAAAAGAACCACGATTAGGACATAAAAATACATGACTGAGCATTTGAATTAAATGTACAAAAGCAAAATGGTGACTTTTTTGCTTTGCTGACCTTTAGCACATGTAATAGGTTTTCCTCCATTCTATGGAAATCACTCAGGCTGTGAGGTTTAGTAATGGAATAATCAGTAACATAATTCATTCCCCAAAATTCAAATTTCAGCCCTTTTTATCAGCCACATATGAACCATTAACTCTGAAGTCAGTAAGGAAGACAGTAGACACCGTGCAGATCTAAAAATAAGGAGCTGAAAAGTGACAGAGCTTAACTCCTTCCATCAAAGAAAGAGCATCACTTTCATGACACTTTTAGTCTCTAAGTACCTACCTGTGAAAGCCATCAGGGTATTAAAAAGCTAAGTGTTGCATAAATGACTATCATTTAAAGGAAAGCTCTTTTTTTTTTTTTTTCTTTAAAAGTGGAAGATGTAAAACAGGCAGATTTAGAAACTAAAGTTCCTCTGTTCACAGAGCAGGCACTGCAAAGAAGTAAAATTGTAAACATTTCCATTTGTTCTACAGGTTTTAAACAATCTTGAAAGAGTCACTTCCTGCAGTCTGGTATTACTTTAGCTCAGAGGCTCATTTCTCACCTGGATTTTAAAATGCATGCACTGGAAATTATAAATACTCAGTCATTTAACACAGAGACTGAGCTAGCTGGAAGTACTTGCTTGCAGTCATCACACACTTGGCTGCAACGCAAAATTAAGTTCCACACAAGAAGAGACAGTCTATCACATTGCTTATTCTTCTATCAACATAGGTGATTTCCTATTGGTATTAACGGAATTGTTGAGACAAATTATTATCTGAAAAACAACTTCTTCTGTAGCCATAAAAATGAATTAGGAAATAAAACACTCCTTAAAGACATGAGTATTTAATTCTGATTTTTAAATGCTACAGGAATTACTTTCAGAATTTTTGTATCAACACTTTTGCAACAGAAAACAGGAAATCATAAAGTAGGACCAGTACGACTCCACAACATTGTATGAAATTAGGAATTTCTATGATAATTGTATGAAATAAACATGTCTTAGATTTACAAGTCTGTTAGCACTAAAGTTTAAAATTTTAATCCTAACAGGAAAGTATGAAATTTCAATACGGACTTATAAGGTATAATTCAACTTCTGATAACTGCTCAACATTATTCTACATATAGTCTTTACAAAGTAGGTGTGACTTACTTTCATTAAAAATGTACTCAAATCCTTCCAAAGTATCAGGAAATTCAAGTGGTGGCTCATCTTTTTTCATTAGTTCATCCAAGTCTATTCTAGACAATAAATCTAAAAAAGGAAAAGAAAAAAATACATAATGCATGGTGTGTCTTTTATTTCCTTTGTAACACTAAAAAAATATGTTTGCTGGTATTTGTAGATCTTACAGGCAGAAGAATATCCCAGTATTACTAAACACAGGACACTGTTATGGGAAATCCTGTTCAAGGTTCAAAATCTGGACTTCACTGCCACTTCACTGTACACATACTCATTTATTTACTTATTTATTTACCTATTTATCTCTGTGTTAATCTAAAAATGTCCAGAGAAAGGGAAGTCATCAAAGACATAGTGATTTGTTTCAATGTTTCATTACCTCAATGTTACAAAATAAGTCTCTGAGGTATGCATAATGGTTTTAATATAAAGCTCTCTAGCTTCAGTTTCAAATAATTGATGGCATCTTGATTGCGTTCTTGAGGAGTTCAGATAATCTGAGCACATCATCTCACTAGCATTTACCAGCTGTGTGGCCACACCAGTCCTCAGCCCCTCCTTTGAAACCCAGACTGTTAGACTGAATCCTTCTCTCAACCACCCCCTTCTAGAGCTCTCAAGGTAGAGAAACTCCCATCCACTTCATAGTAACCCATGGCATACACATCCTTTTCAGATCAGGACTGTATGGCCTGGTACAGCCTACATGCAGTCACTAATGCAAGTACACAAAAATTATCATAATCTACATTCTTTACCCTAGATTTAATGATTTACATTTAATCAGAGGAAAACTTATGGGGACATCTTTACATCTACGTGTAACTACCAAACAATTACTGCATATATAGGTAAAACTGTACAATGATCTCCCTTTCCTCATTGCATATCACCCATACAATGCAGTGCTATGCTCCTAACATATTTTCTAAATATTAATTTTTAAAAAATAAAGAAACAATTCAATAAAAATAAAATTTCCTACTTTTTTATTAGATGAAATTGAAGTCTACACAAACATTCTGTTCAGGAGTGCTAAACTGATTTTGAACTATTATTATTTCATAAATCAAGATACTGTGGGTTACCAAGGAAATACATTAAGTGTTCTAAGTATATGAATTTTCACCTTTATTATCCAATGTAGTAGTTTAAAAAAAAAAAAAAAAACAGTTTGAAAAGACTTGTTTTCTTTAAATTTCATTTGGTATTAACTATGTTTCCATCTTTGTATTACTTAAAACAATTATTTTTATATTTTGTACCACTATTTTTGCTTGGTCTTGTTGCCAGTAGGCTACCCACATTACCTAAGCTTAGGATTGACACATTCAACACTTTGAAATTTCTACTGTTTAAAATATACTGAAAATTATCTTCAACATTCTTTAGAGTTCCTTGACCTCTGCTTCTACAACTCTTCAAGTTCACTTTACATTTATTCCAGCTAACTCTTATTTATTGTCTCCAACATTTATTGGCGCCAACTCTTCCTTCTGAGTAATTCCACTGGGCAAAGTTGGAGGATCAAAAGCCATCTGGTATGGTTGCTGAAATTCAACATCTTTCCAACAAGTACTATGGCTTCTCAGTATCTCTGTATTATCTAAATGTCTGTATAACACCAGATACTGACTGGATGATTCTAAATCTGTCTTTCTCAGCCATAGCTCACTTTTACATCACATCCGTTTAACAGCAAGCCCCATGAAATTCAATTCATGCAAGAAATTATGTGTTTGCTCTTGTGCACTGTCCTTTGACAGTTCTGCAGAAGCCCCTTTGGTTCTCAAGCAAATGATATGGAAAAAGAAAAAAAATTTGTCAAAGAAGGCTCCCACAACAGGATGTAAAAAATGTGTCCTTTCTTCCTTTGTACTTTGACAAAATCAAGGCAGCAACAGCCTTTAGCACATCTTTGTCTCCTTGGTGAAGAGACTCCAGTCACATTGCATCCCTACAATTTATTTTCTCTGGAGTTTCCATACTGTCTTACCATGATCTATTTTGAGATGTATTTACACAGAAGTGTTACTTAATATCCAACATAAAAATCAATCTCCTGAGTATCAAGGACAATAGTATATTAAGTATATTATGCTTATTCATAATATGTATAGCTTGTCATGGTTTACAGCTTTCATCAGTCACTAAGGAAAACTGCACCTTTTCTGAGCTGAAACCATGGATACGCTCACTTTCCTCTTGTGCAACTTTTCAAATTAAAATTATCTAAAGTATCTTACAAGTTTACGATTCTTTCCAAATCTGATCTAGCATTCTCACCTAAGGTTTTGGACCTTCCAACAGAGCTGAAAAACTGAGTGATCTCCAGGAGACCTTCTATAGCTAAATGGAAAATCACTATATCATATCATTATCTTTAAAGATAATCAAATTAATTCCATGTATAAAATGGGAGTTTTACTTCCAAACCTGAACTATAGCTTCCTCAAAAGATACTAACTGGACAGAACTGGCACAAAGTTTGATAAAAAACACTACATAGGTTTTCACTAAATACTTCACAAAAATTCAGTTGCAACTGAAGAAACACCATCTATCACCACAATGGAACAGTGCTTTCTAATAATGCTTTGATAGAAATCCAGGATGTACACTCGAGTGGCAAGCTATGTTATTTTTTCTCCTTCGAAAGATAATTTAGAATACACCTGTGTGATGCAAGCGCTTTAAATCAATGGTTAACCTACTTGTAGGTCTAACCAACTTCATGTACTTCCAAAGCTGCAAGCCACTATCTAAAACATATCATTTGTGTAAATTATTTTTACCCCTAAGTCATTTAGATATGTTTATTTTTTAAAACATACAAAGGGAACTTTATAAAACCAATATGGATATCAGTGTCTGGAAAGCCTCTTCCCTTTTAGCATACTAGTCCAAGAGATTTTTAAACGGTCTAATAAAGCTGTATAACTATAAAATAAAAGCATCACGCAAATTAAATCAAAACTTCTGAAAACTTATGAACACAAAAGCCAGTCAACTTTCTAAAAGGACAATTATGAAAATTTTAAAAAGCAATGAATAGTTTATTCTGTTACTCCTTAACACACATCATTATGTTTTATACCATCTTACGAAAATACTGATAAATGGACACACCATTAGACAATAAGCATTAGCACAGGTGGACTAAGAGTCTCTTCTGGCATTGTAATTCCCAAGCTCTAACTCACAACTATATAATATTATTTTCCCTTCCTAAACAATAATTTCTGAAATGTCAATATATGTTAAAAAAAAGGCAAAAAAAGACTCTCATACCCTTTAATGCAGTAGTCTTCTCTTTTTCATCTGGACCTCCTTGCTGGAGCTGAGCCATTATTTACCCAAACTACCAACAAACTTTGAAATACTGAGGTAAATGTAGATTAATATTCAAAGGATGATCTGAAAAAGAACAAGAGTTGGAAATTAGTAAATTTACTGACTTCTCCTTCACAGCTCTCATCTGCTACTGTTTACACAACCAAAAAAAAAAAAACCTGATCATTATAAGCCCAAAGTCTGACCAAGTTTGGTTAAAGATTCAAGTTCACAAGAATTAACTATACTTCCCCTAATCCTAAAAGTACTTCTACCTAATCAAAACTACTTCTTTTGGGATTCTAATGCAGCATTAGTAAACAATAAACCTTTTACAGACCCACCAACGTCTGCAAGTCCAAAGCAGAAGATACAAGAAAAACAAAAGACAGTCAACAGAACTTCCACAATCTTTATGGATTTTCTTCCTCAATTAACTTCAGTTTGTTCTCATTATTGTATTATATAGTTTTGTTTTAGCAAAGGTACATGAAGCACACTATTTTAAGCCATTGTGATTTCCACAATACATTTACTGGTATTGAAATGTCTTTGCATTGTAAATGTAATTAAAATATAAAGCTACATTTGTCCAGCTACAGAACAAATCTCAATGTATTTGAGACAAGACTTTACATACAAAATCTATTTCCAAATTTCTCTTTCTGCACAGAAGGCAAACCAGACATTCAAATCCACAGACTCTTTCATCTTGAGTCTGACACCAAGGGAGTGAACTACCAAATCACAATTGCTTCTTCCTTCTCAATAAAAAGACTTCAGTGCATTGAATTCTTATTCCCTTAATCTTTTTTTGGTTCTTTGTTTTATCTGTCAGTCATTACCAACTTCTTTTATTCTTCTCCCTCATATACTTTATCATTGATGAGCTTGTATGAACTCTACTGTAACTTGTCAAAACAGTAACAGAATTCACCAACTGTACTACTGGCTCCCTAACACTTAGACCTGCAACAAAGAACTCCAAAACGATTAAGTAAGAGCAGTTCATTCTATAGACAGCAGAAAAAAAATAAACTTAGCATAATAAAGACTACTCTTCCATTCTTCATAGAGAAAACCTATTAAACATTTTCTTGTATATTAAAGGAATAATACAGCAATCTAAGGGGGTGTTAGTTATTAACTAAGGACAGGGTTTGAAGGATTGTTGTGATTTGGTTTTTTAAACTTGGGGGTCTAGAAAGTCCAATAATGCATTTTACAAGTTGGAACTATGGCAGACTTTGACACCTTCCTTTGTAAAGGCTGTTCAGACAAAGCTGGTAGGAAACAGCAATACACTTTACAAGAGTATTTTAAAGACACAAGTTCAAAGGAGTTGGAAAGGTCTGTTTATATTGTGTACTTCATAAATTATTACATGATTCAGTTAAAATGTGCATCTTTTGTCTAACCCTTTAGTCACTACTCATAACAAAAGCAATTAAAAAAATAACAGCAAAACCATTGAGATTTCTTGGTGCATTTTCTAGCCTACAAAGTTGTATATGTAAATATTAATAATTATGAATTATAATAATAATATTACAATGTAAATATTTGTGATTCAAATGTTGATTCCCACACATGGATGGTATTAAATATTTTCAGGAGATGTTTCCAAGCAGTCCGTTGAAAAAAGACTACCAAATACAAAATTTTGTCCATCTTGTTCATACATTTGCAGCACAAATCCACTACATTCTACGTAGTAGTATTTTCTAGTAAATTCCAGCAGATTCTAGTAAAACATATAGAAAAGAAAGTAATTTCAATTAAAATTATTCAAAGTTCTAACTAATGACAATTATAGAGTTTTGTAATAGCCCAGATTAAAATTACTCTAATCATATGAAATTGAGTGGTTCTCCCTGTAACAATATTTGAAAATTCACAACTTGGTATATGTAAGTTAACACAGTTAACAAAATGCACACAGGTCCTCAAATATTTGTTAGCCAAGGTAAGAAACGTACAATCTATCTGAACAGATTTTCCTTGGAAAACAAGACCCCATCCCCTGATCAGATAAATCAAGGCAGAGACCAGGAATCCTTGCCATTCTTGTCTCTACCATGGATACCATTCTTCCTCCTTGATTAGATGAAGACCCTGCCATTGAGTAACAGTTCAACTGCAAAGATAAAAGCACCAAAATAAATAAATCTAAATTTACCTTTGAGAGACAGAATTTACAGTTCTTTCTGACAAAGTAACAAAACTGTTACAGCAGCCACTGGAGGCAGGACTTGATATCATAATGAGGATGGAACAAGTACACAGTACGTTATGCATTGTTTCTGTGAATACAGGATTTTTTGGAATCCCTTACTGATACTTATTTAATTAAGAGAAGAAATTACTTGAGAGAGTTAGATTTCTGTTCTTTGACAGAGTGGTGCCAAATCCATTATTGATTGTACAAAAACAAGCACTGGAAAATGATGAAATTCTGAGTGGTTCCATACAGGCAAAGCAAGAATTGTAGTTTATTCTAGGCATTAATTTCAAACTGCAGTTTATCCTAAGTATCAATTTCAAATCCCAGTGATCTTCAACTGCATATACTGACCACTTCATATAATTCCTAAATGCTGTCAAGTTTCTTGTAATAAATACAGACTTTAAATGTGTTATTCTTATTGTACTGGTATTCTTAAAGGTGTTATTCCTACAATACTAAGATAAGTGTTTTCTTTTGAAAACACCTCTGTGGGTTTTTTTTTTTTAGCTACATACAGCAAGCATACTTCCCAAAGCACAAGTTACTACTTCACCTGAAGAAAATAAGTTTATGCATATTTACTTGTATGTATCTTGCTTATGCATGAAAACTTATGTATTCTGACACAAACTATCTTATTCGTATTCTGTGCCTCTTTAACTCCAACCCCTGCAATACTTAAAAATAGTTTGACACAGAAATATTCTAGTTTAATGGTTTCATATGAGCCAACGAGGCTGCATTTTCATTATATCCCTGCTTATGTAATTACAGAAACTGGCAGACTCAGAAACAAACGGTCAATAAATTAATTTTTAAAAAACGCACACATCAGAGAACATACACATATTTTATGTTATTGCCTGTAAAGTGGTATTGGAAGTTTGGACTACAGACCTTGTGATGTCATAACAGTGGTGTTTTTTAAATCAATCTGACACCACATGGCACCATATCATATCCATACACATGGTACACATATGCAGGTTTCAACATACTTAAAATACTCTTTATTGTGCAACTGCAGACAGAAGTGTGCCAAAAAACACAGTAAATGATTTTGTTCTAAATTAGCAATACCTGAAGCAAAGTCAATATTACAAATGCTCCAAATAAAGGCTATAAACAAGACATTAATAAGAAGAAAACACACAAGTATCTTCAAACACCACAAGTCCTTCAGGCTTATCTGGACATAATGAGAGGAGGTGTTACCAGAATGCTTCTGTGTACTGTACTCCTTTATTAAAATATAATAGAATGAGAGTCCTACTCTTTGTAAACTGACTCCCCAAGCAAGCTAGGAACAAGTATGGCTTAGATGTGTATAATGTGGCTGATGACCGATTAAGACTCAATTTTTCTTCAAAGAGATAACTGGGCAACAGTTTGCCTCGAGTCTCTTGTCAGTATCGGCTCAATAAAGCAAAAAAACCCCAATAATTCATCATAGCAGTATTTTCTCTCAATTAGATTTGTCTTTTCCCTCTTTTAGGGCACTACAGATGGCATCAGTAACAACTGCATCAATTATGGTTGTATTTCACCTTCCCACACTTAAAAGACCATATTTTTACGTGCTTATTGGTTTACCCAACTTCAACTCTGAAAGGCTATTATTTCCAGTCTGCTTCAGACTAAATGGTTTTGAAAGTGTCTAACTCTAGTATAAAGTTCAGAGACAGCACCTCAGTTCTGATGATATTAATGAGCAGCTACAGCACCTCCATATTAAAGACAGCATCTCTATGTTAGAGATCAGAAATTTAGGATCAGAGGACTAGCTTAGCAGTATATGCTTGCCTGTCCCGCTCTGCTGAAGTTAAAATGGCCTTTCTCATGCATTTAGGCTACCAGAACTGCAAGAAAATTTGCCTAGTTGTTCAGAGCATGCTCCATACCACTGCAAAAGACAGAGGAAAGATGCACAGGAAAGGATTAATAAATCTTAGAAGGGCAGATGTAACAACTTATAATACAAAGAAATTGGCAATGATCCTAAAGTCCCTGAATCTCAGATCATTGTACACTACCAAACGGTGGTAGAACTTGCTGATAAAGTATGTGACTTTTTGTATGCCCTAAAGTTTGATACAATAGCACAGCAACGACCTTCCAGTTTCATTTACCCCATAAGTTCAAACAACAAGATGACTAGGAGCCACGTGCATTAGCAATATGTGTCAGCAACTCAACTCTTTACACCAAGCAGAGTCAACCCAACTCCACACATTGAGATTTTAATGATTTTGGTTTAACTTCCTTGAAATGCTGAAAATTACCTTCATAAGCATATCCATATTAACACAAGGAAAAAAACTACATAAAAATAACAGTAAAAAGAGGCAGCACAACCTCAACATAGCCTCTGTGATATTGACAATATAATGGTATACCAACCAAACACAAAGATAGAAATTAGCATCTGCAGCAGCAATAGCTTTGAGTACTTGTACTGGTTTTCTCTAGGAGAGTCAGTTTTCTCCACAGTAGCTTGTAGAGTTTGGATTTGTGCTGAAAACAGCATAATTAACACTGCTGAGCAGTGATCACACAGCATCAAGGGCTCTCCCTGCTTCCATGTGCTGCCCTGCCAGTAGGCAGGCAGGAGTGTACAAGAAGCTGGGAGGGCACACAGCCAGGACAGCTGAGACCAACTAACCACATGATGACACACTCAGCAACAAAAGCTTGGAAAAGAAGAAGCAGGAAATGTGTGGAATGGTGGTGTTTGTCTTCCCAAGTTACCATTACATGCAATGCAGCTGTGCTTTCCTGAGGATAGCTGAATATTTGCAATTCCTTACTTAGCTTTGTTGCTGTACACAGCTTTTACTTCTCCTATAAAGCTGTCTTT